GGCCACAGAGAGATTTAGTGAAGATATACTTCATTTTACTTATTCGGGTCCCAACTCCCCATCTCAACTAACATCCTTTCAAATTTTCTCTCTTTTTTGCCATTTTTCATTTTAATTGTAATAACAAAAAAATAAATAGTAACGTACGAAAAATATTAAGTCTGAAGTAGTTGTAATTTTGCTAACATACTAAGTTTTATCTTTTATTTACGTGATTGGTTTGAAAATAATGCATGGAAAAATCTTTTATCGCAATTCAATGAACATGCATTATATTTAATTTGATGGACTTTGTTGCCTAGAAGGTTTGTCCACATGGACCATCTCATCAAAACAAATTGTCATATAACTACCAATTTGACCATCTTGTTGTTAAACAAACTTTTCAAAAATTAAATAAACTTGTGGCAATTTGGGCCCATTTTATAGTGGGAATCATGTAACGATATGATTTATAAACATGGGAAAACGGTTTCCGAATATCAAGTGGATAACAAGCAAACTGTAACATTGTCAGTCGTTCAAGAATGTATTATTTACTCATACGTCGTGTCATTTTGGAGTCTCATCCTGGCTCACCACACGGATCGTGGGATGACAATGAGGGCTTATAACAGAAACTAATTTTGGACTTTTTGACGGAAGTCTGCAACAATGACCAAGCTTGCTGAAGATTGGAAAACTCCAGCTGTCTTTCTTCCCATTTGTATATTAATTATATATTTATCGCCCTCACATTTAATCATTTAAACTTTAGATAACTTTCCGAATAAATTTAATATCAGGGCAGGGCGTTCCTTTAAGCCCTCAAGAACGAAAATCCGTGGAGCGGTTCGGCCGTAATTTAAATCTGCGTTTCGGGCGTTCACAATTATATATAAAGTTATATTATTACAATGAAAGGACTGTTTGGAATTCCTGCAATGTTTCTGTTTACCATTCCGTCAATGTAAGAAAGTTTTCTTTTAGCAATATTCTTACGCAAATAAATCACGTTGTTCTACTACTATTTTATAGAAATATTTTCATCCATTATATTTAGTGGTCATCCATTATATATAGGATTCCTCTATCTCCCTATATACCCACTCTGTAAAACTAATCTTATTTATGTTTAAGCAATATTCAGTGTTCCATTGACTCTCCCACTCCATACATAAATTCAATACACCCAACACATTACAGTTATTTAATTATTCAGAAATCGTGAGATGCGGCCTGGTGTGACGTAGGTTTCAGAAAAACATTTTCTTTATCGTGCCAACGTTTCGATCTTTATTGAGATCATCTTCAGGGCCTGGGATTTACAAACATTGTTTACATTTAACAAATACATTTAGGATGTGGAAAAGTGAATTTATACAATGCAAAATATATTCTATATTCAATCAAAGTATTTCTATTCACTCAAAGTGTTTGTCTTCTGTGTAATTGTGTCATTCTTGCGTGTCGTGTCGAGAGTGCCAGTGAGATTTGCTATTTTGCGTTTATATACGTTGGATTTTGAAGGGGTGGGGAAGGATATCGGTATAGAAAAGACATTTTTGTATAAGGAGTCGGCGTCTTTGAGGTGAAAAGAGCCGACGAAGGGAAAAAACGTTTGTAATAGTTCGGCCAGGTTATCCTTTCAGGATTATATAGAAAGGGAAAGCTAAATTGTTGGACAATTAGACTATGGGAAATATTTGACGTGTGGAATGTAATGTAATGATATATGTATGTTATCTGTATTGAATTTGATTAATGATATTGACGTAGCTGCGACTGAGTTTACATGTATCTGTTCTGTAATTGATGCTGTGTTTATCTCGGTTGATATAAACCATTTATAAGAAATTACGTTTATGTTTGTTTTGTTCTGTGTGTAATATTTTTGGATTTTTGAAGTCAAACTTGTGTTGGTGTTCAAAGTGTTGGGTAGCGAGTGCTGTATGATTTTGCTTAGGTGTTTCGCAATCATAGATATGTTGCTTTACTCTCTTGTCCAGATATTGGACTGTAAGACCGATGTAAGTTGCCGGACAGTTTAAACAGTTGATCATGTAGATTACGTCAGATTTATTTGTTATTGGTGTGGGATCTTTAATTTTGGAAAAGAGTGTTTGGATTGTTTTATAATTTTTGAAAGCTATTTTGAAGTTATCGGATAAGAGAAATGTGTTTAATTTATGTGATAGGCCGTGAATAAATGATATTGAAATGCATGCTGGTTTGTTTGTATTTGATAGACTTAATGTAGTATTATTAGTAATAGTGGATGGTGTTAGTGTTGAGTTGTAGTTATTGATTTTTCTGTTAATGATGTGTTTGGGGTAGAGATTGTTATGGAGGATCTGTTTGTATATTTTTATGTTCTTGTGGTGAAATGATTCATGGCTTAGGGTAATCATTCTGTGAAGTAACCCTTTGGCCGTGTTTAATATTGTATGAAGAGGATGGTGAGATGTAAAGTTGAGGTAGCGATCTGTGTTTCTTGGTTTTTGATACCAATCTGTGATTAATGTGCCATCTGGTTGTTTTATTACGAGTGTATCTAAAAATGGTATTTTTTTGTTGTTTTCGATTTCATGTGTAAATTGTAGGCGTGGGTGAAAGCTATTAAATGTATCTAATGTAGTTTCAATTTGATCTGCTGTCAATATATCATCTACGTATTTAGTGAGGAAGGGTAATGTGAAAGGAAGTTGTGGTATGACTGTATTTAGTAGATGTGTCATGATTATGTCTGCTAGTATCGGGCCTAGGTTGTACCCATGGCTATACGAAAAAGTTGTTTGTAAAATTGATTGGCGTATGTAAAATATCCGTTAACACAGCAGTGTCGGATCATTGTTACGAACGTGTTCTTTGATAGAGTTGTGTGTGGTGTTATGTTGGGCCATTTATCTTTAATAGTTGAGTGTTGTGTCTATTGGTATGTTGGTAAACAATGATGAAACATCTAAGGATATGAGAGAGTAGTGTGAGGAGATGTGGATATTATTAATTTTGTTAATGAAATGAATCATTTACATTATATGTGTTATCTGTGATGTTGTTGAGTATGTTGGTTATCTATTTTGTCATGCACGATATCTGAATAATTATCGATTAACGGTCACTAATCTCTACACATTACATGTTATACTTACATAACAACTGTATGCCGTAGAGCACTATTTTATCTAAAAGTGGAAAAAAAGGACAAAAAAAGAAACTCTTCCGTACTCAAAATTTATTCTCTTGTCGACTCGAAAGAAAGAAGTATATCTGCACATTACGCCTGTAAAACAAAGTGCTAAGTATGATGCGTAAGTGTGGTCGAGATAAGATTCAAAAGTATAAATGATAGAAGATAATTGAGTACTAATCTTGTGATATCACGATTTTTATGGCTTTTAATGAGCTTCGGACGAAGAGACTTTTTAAAAAGAACTTAATGTGTTTTTAATGTCTATCTCTTGTTACTTTCACCGTTTCCTCTTTACCTTTAGGAAAATAATACGAAATGTACGATGGGTTTGCTTACAACTAATCAAATACCTAAGCAGATTAAGAAAAACAATTCGCAATACTGAAAACTTTTTAATAAGAAAAAAGGCTTTAAATTTCCATACAAAAAAGACAGGCGTTTATCACACATGTGTCACCCGGCCGGGCCGATTTGGATTAAACATTCATCATGTTTGCCTACATTTCCGTGTCAGCAAACACGGATTGTCAGTTCTTGAATTATGACGCAAATGTTTATTTTTCAAAATTTGTTTGAACAGCCGGTGAGAAGGTACATTTTTAATAAAACCCATAATCACAGTTTACAACGGAAATTTATAAATGGAATAAAATGTTGACTATTTGAAAAAGTCGATTATAAATATTGTCAAGTTAATTTTTTTTCAAGAAGATTTATCATTTCAAGTCTGTAAATTTTATTCAACCAGAAAATGTGGTCACATTTCAAAGTTAGCCAACAACTCGGCGTGTTCAACTGCAAATATTACTTTTTTTCAATTAATTAATCTTTTTATGTAAGGTCTTGGTTGAAATGAAAGGATCTCCTTACGAATAGTAACTATCAGAAAACTGAGACAGCAACAATGGTACTGGCTCCATTCAGGATAGGCATAACAATGGCAAATGATAAAATCATATTACATCTCACTACATAATGTATATAATCTATACGTATGATATTAAAAGAATAGTTATGTTTAGTAGTTTTTGAGAAAATCAGGAGCAAAATTAGTAAGTTGAAACCCTACATATAAAAGGATCTAGCAAATAAAGAAAATGCTACTTTAACTAATTCCATGAATAAATAAATACAATAGAAACGTTAAATAAACACTTCTTAATTCGCCATCACTTTATCAGTAATTATTTAAATGTGTGGTATTTAGTAACTGTTAGTCATGATTGAAGATCGTGAAATGCGGTCTGGTGTGACGTAGGTTTTAGAAAATCATTTTCTTTATCGTACACGTTTCGACTTTTATTGAGATCATCTTCAGGGCTCACTCTTGTGGGTCGTGTTGAGACTGCCTTAAGTTCGGCACTCTCAACACGACACACAAGAACAGAACATCTACACAGAAAACAAACACTTTGAGCTCTGAAAATGATCTCAATAAAGATCGAAACGTTGGCAAGATAAAAAAAATGTTTTTCTAAAATCTACGTACCCGACCGCATCTCACGATCTTCAAACAATAATTATTTAAATTCAATGCGTCGAAATACACAAACATCTTCATAGGAAAAATGTATGTATAAATTTTGAGGAGTGGGATTGTGATTATTTAAAAACTGCATGAGTTAGGGCTAAAATGACTCCAAAAAATTCGCAAGACGGACAAAACCCACGTCTGCAGGTGTTTACAATACACCAATTAACTATTATATTTTGCCATATTAATATTTCCGAATGTTCTTTAATCTTTCTCATATTACTAATTAATTTTATTTTTCTGGAACTGATGCCATTGATGTCAAAATTTACTGAAATGTGTTTTACTTTTCAGGGCGAACCTGGCACGCTGAATTTCGCTTTTTCTCCGACCCCAAATGCCTTACGGCGACATTGGTTGCGGCGGCTGAAGGGCGTTACACACCAGCGAAAATCGCCGGCGGGGGGAACGCACGAGTTCCAGGAGCGGTGGATTTCGATTTCATGGTTGAAAGAGGTTTCCTCACCCTCCACGATAAAGCTCTCGTTGACAGCTTACAAAAAGACAAGAAGTGCGGCCCACCCGGTGCCTGGCAGGTAATGTGCCAAGTCAAACTGTTTTTAATATCAAATTTCATTATTTGAAATACTCTGGACGTGTTATATAACCGTGTTGTTACTTTGGCATTGAATATGTTATGTTTGTTCAGGTAGTCATCAGAAGCGTAGGTCGCCAAGGTTCATTAAAAAAAGAATGAAATTATAAATTTGGTCAGTCAACAAACAAAATAGTTTAGATAACATCTGAAACCACAACAGTTAGACAATAACACTGGGTCACACAGTCCATTTACCAACAAAATAAAATATTGGTTCATACTGTACAGGGTGTCCCGTGAACAGACGTCAATATTTCAAGGGTTTATTCAACATGACAAATGGGACGAAAAATCCCTCTTGCCTATGATGTGATTTTCAGTTGTATGCCAGACATTTCATTTTATGTGTTACTTCAACGTTTCACAGCTTTTCTCATAAAGACCCCGGTATTTCATAACACCTTGATCATAATTTAAATTTGAGTGGTGATTAGTGACCGTTAGACGATGATTATTCGGAGATCGTGAGATGCGGTCTGATGAGACGTAGGTTTTAGAAAGACATTTTCTCTATCGTGCCAACGTTACGATCTTTATCGAGATCATCTTCAGTGCTCAAAGTGTTTTTTTACGCAGAAAACAAAACAAGCCCTGAAGATGATCTCAATAAAGATCGAAACGTTGGCACGATAAAGAATATGTTTTTCTAAAACCTACGTCACACCAGACTGCATCTCACGATCACCGAATAATCATTTAAATTTGAATAGATCATTGGAAAGAACATTAAAACTCATCCTACAAGCATAAAATCTCTCAGAACAAAAAAGTTTATGTTTTCAATGTTCTTGTCTGATATATGAGTAAGATATTATTAACTCTGTAAATACAGAAAAATAATATCGTCTATAGAAAAGTTGACTCTGGTAATGAGCTTGAAACACATGTATTTATTTTCTTATCGGCCAGTTTTCACCAGAGAAAAATTAACATTTAATTTGTAATACTGTAACCTGCGTTTTTGGCTATAAATAGCTAAAAGTTGTTACAACAAGTTGTTAAAACTTCAACTAACTTTGGTACAAAACTAAAGATAAGAAAAAAGCAAGCTTAAAAAAATTAAATGTTCGAAATATCCACTTTTTTGACGAGCAAAAGCCTATTATAGTTTCCTGGTGGATTTTACTGTTAACAGTTCACCCTGATTCTCTACTCTCATAAAAGCACAATATTTCTGATCCTTGCTATGAAGTCGTTTTTAGTCGTGGCAGATACAGAATATATTTTAAATTACTGTTCTTTCTACTGACGTAAAAAAAAATTATTTTACCATCAAATTTTCTGGGATCTGGTTTCTGTTCAGGTAGAACAAGAAGTAGAATCTGTGATCATTTGCCTATCTTTCGGCCTTTATAAGACCATCGTCGGGACAGCTATTTCTCATATTAACATTACAGAATGACAAAAAAACCCGACGATATCGACCAAGAGGTTTCGAAGTACATGAGGTTGGTTAAGATAAAATTACAAATATTTTCAATTTTTTCCAAGGATAGTGGTCAGGTTCAGTCTATAAAAAAACTAATTATTCAGAAATCGTGAACAATCTCTCCTCTAACACATAATCAACAGAATAATCAACAACTACAACTCAACTCTAACACCAGCCACTATTACTAATAATACTACATTAAGTCTATCAAATACAAACAAACCAGCATACATTTCCATGCTATTTATTCACGGCCTATCACATAAATTAAACACATTTCTCTCGGCCGATAACTTCAAAATAGCTTTCAAAAATTATATAATAATTCAAACACTTTTTTCGAAAATTAAATATCTTACACCAAAAAAGAAATAAATCTGACGTAATCTAAAAAATCAATTGTTTAAACTGTCTGGCAACTTACATCGGTCTTACATCCCAATATCTCGGTAAGAGAGAAAAGCAGCATATCTATGATTGCAAAAAACCCAAGCAAAATCCTCCAGCACTTGCTACCAACCATTTTGAACAGAAACACAATTTCGAACACAACAATCCAAAAATATTTCACACAGAACAAAACAAACATAAACGTAACTTTTTAAAAATGGTTTACATCAACTGAGATAAAAACAGCATCAAGTACAGAACAGACACATGTAAACTCAGTCGCAGCAACGCCAATATCATTAATCAAATACAATATCGATAACATACATATATCATCATCACATCACACAAAACATATAATATAACATATAAAACAATCAACACATCAAACATTTTTACATAGTCTAACTTTTCAACAATTTAGCTTTCCATTTCTTATTTTTCCCCGTCTATATAATCCTGAAAGGATAACCTGGCTGAACTATTACAAACGTTTTTCCCTTCGTCGGCTCTTTTCACCTCAAAGACGCCGACTCCTTATACAAAAATGTCTTTCTATACCGATTTACTTCCCCACCCTTCAAAACCCAACGTATATAAACATAAAACAGCAATATCTCACTAGCACTCTCAACACGACACGCAAGAATGACACACTTACGCCGAAAACAAACACTTTGTGTGAGTAGAAATTCGTTGGTTGAGTATAAAAAATACATTTTTTTGCATTGTATAAATTTACTATTTTCCACATCCTACATGTATTTGTTAAATTTGAACAATGTTTGTAAATCCCAGGCCCTGAAGACGATCTCAATAAAGATCGAAACGTTGGCCTTTAAATCAAATAAAAAAGTGCCGCACGTAGGGCAATCTCAATACGACACACAAGAGTGACACATCGACACTGAAAACAAACACTTTGAGCCCTGAAGATGATCTCAATAAAGATCGAAACGTTGGCACGATAAAGAAAATTTTTTCTGAAACCTACATCACACCAGACAGCATCTCACGATTTCTGAATAATTATCAACTAACGGTCACTAACCACCACACATTTCTACACGAGAAGAACAAAGAACATGAGATCCTTTTTAAAAAGATGGTTCCTATTCACAGCTCTGAAGATGATCTCAATAAAGATCGAAACGTTGGCACGATAAAGAAAATGTTTTTTTGAAACCTACTTCACGCCAGACCGCATCTCACGATTTCTGAATAATTATCGACTAACGGTCGCTAACACCACACATATAAAGAGAACGTTATGCGTAGGAGGTAATTCACTCGCACAGTTCCAATCCACTGCTGATGGTTTTAAAAACGCCGAAACCTTGTCAAGTGATGATAGAGTCATTTTCTACCTGACTAGAAACCAGACCCAAAACACATTAATCGTCGTGGTCAATTTCTTCTTTATCAACATCAAATTTTCTTGCATACAGGGGTTCATGGGAAAAAGTTGTAAATATTTGAGCAACATGAAAAGTGAAATATCTGGAATACAATTTCGAATCCGACTATGGACAATAGGAAGTTTTTATTCTTATTTGACATGTAGGTTAACCTCTTAAACAATGGACGTCTGCTTTCAGGACACCTTGTATATAATCAATACTATACACAAACTAAATAAATAAATGGTTAGTGATGTCGGGGGAGGCCTATTTCAGAATACAGTCACGCCTAACGCGAAAATGTTGCGGGAATTATATAATCTAAGTCCTCCTTACATTATTAATTGAATGTTTTTCATCAGAGATTTGTTCGATCCCTTGAGTTGTTGCATTTGAACTTTGATAAAACTACTCAGTAATTTGTACTATTAAATCCATCTTATTTAGTGGTCTATTGACCATAATACTTCTTTCAATTGAAATGAAATGCTAGTGTCAGGAGCGGGATTTGAACCCTCGACCTTCGGCTAAATACGCCAACACTTGAGCTATCGTGACTTCGATCCACTCGGACACCAACTCCCCATCAAATTTAATTATTTATTATGTAAAACGAAGGATAACTTCACTAATAGCTGCTACTTCAAATGTAGCCGAGAAGCGAGTCCAGAATACACGATATTTAAAGAATGGCAAAAAGGAGGGAAAATTCGAAATGTTGTAGGTTGAGATTGGGAGTTGGTTTCCGAGTGGATCGAAGTCACGATAGCTCAAGTGGTAGAACAGCGGATTTGCCCCTTTCTCCTAAACCCATTGAAAATCGATTAGGGCGGCAAAGTCCTTTATGGTTTACAGATATTCAATAAAAATGACCGGTTGATAAATTTTCGAAAGACGCACAAGAAATGGCTGAAACTCAACATGTCCTCCTGCTTGAATAATATAAGCCTATTATTTAATGTGTACAGATCTTACAAATCTTTTAATACAGAATTTTTTTCGTGTATGAAATTTTTAATATATTTTGCGACGAAATTTATGTCACATTCCACTTAAAATAAACAAACTGACTAAATATCATGGTCCAATATAATCAAACTTATATTTAAATTACTCTAATTGATAGTATACTCAATTGAATAGTTAATCGCAAGAAATAATTATGGATTTTTAATCTAAACTTAAAAATACAATTAATAATGAAAAATCCATATCGAATTATTGAAATACAGTTTCCTTCTTGGGCGGCCAAATTAATAGCGTCCCCCTTTTCAATTGCGTCTGCTACTATAAAGCACAGAGCATTTGGGAGATAAGGGCCGCTATAAATCCCATTTATTATCCATCAGTGCGGTATTATTTGCAGCAATAAAAGCGCCTTCGCGCTGACCCGTATACCTTTTAGTTCATGTCTTGTTTTCCGAAAAACCTCATTAGGTAGATATTTTATTTTGACATATTAAATTTCAAAGCGTTTTTAGCCTATTTGAATAAATTTTAAGTAAAATGTTATTAGCCCTTGCTAATTCTGTACTAAAACGACTATACTTTTTACTATATACTTTCTATTATATATTTTTTTGTTCAAAAATTAAAATAAATCCTAGTTAATTCAATAATTAGTGATAATCTAATAAAGTACTAGCAAAGTGTGTCATTGTTTATAATAATATAAAGTGTGCCTTATTTACTGGCTACTCATGGGTTTATTCTTCT